GTTGAAAAATGAAAACACTGGATAAGAGCCCACCTTCTGGCTTCGTGTTTGTCAGGAACAGGATCTATTAGCCTTTTAAAGAAAGACTGATAATAAAAAGCAGACTAAGTGAGCTATGTGAATTGGCATCTAATCAATTATTTTCTAAGCTTCCCCCCCCCCCTTAAGTTACTCAGAGCCTCATGAGCAAACAAGATTTTACTGGTCTAAGCCCTCTTGCTTCCACAGAATTTGGATAATATATAAGCCTGTGCATGCCCCTATGCTCTTTTGAGATGCTTTATTATTATCATCATCATAGAAAGGTCATATTCCCTTTTCTTAAAGGGATACACATCATAAACTTCCACCCCACATTCCCCAAGCTTTAAGAGGTGCAAGGTCTGAGCTTCCCTCCCATCACCCAACAGCTGCGCCAGGATATCAATGATACTAGGGTGAGACTGGGACCCACTAGGGTGCCAAAAGCTCAGCCTGCTTTCTTTTTCTCACATTTGTTCCTTGTTGTATTCGACCTAGAAATTTTGGATGTGGACGACATCACATACTTGGAGTGATCCTCTTTTTCCCTCCTTAAACCTTTTACCCTCTAGTTGATTTATTTCTCCTGGGCTAAAATTGGACTCATCCTGAACATCAGTCTTCAGCTTGGAAGACACTCGAGCATTTGGAGGGGGCCTCCCCCGCAAATTGGTTGCATTGAATGCTTGGGTTTGCCTTTCCTTCCCCTGTCTGCCATCTCCTCTGTGCCTGACTTTCTCTCCTACTCTCCCCACACTCAGCTCTCACCCTTTGACTTCTACTTCATATCTCATTGGCAGAAGACATGTGTCTATGATTGTCCCTGAGTGCAGGCCAATTCCTTGTTGCAGCCTGGGTGTGCCTGGTCTCCTAAGGTGCACCCCAGGCACTTGAAGAGTGTCGTCTGCAATCCCTGTCCCGCCCTCCACTCCCCCAGTGTTTTGAGGCACTGGCTCTTCAAGGTTACTTTTGTTAACCCTCTAGAGGAGCATGATCAGGCCAAGACAAATCATGATACACAAGGGAAAGGCAAAAGGAGGGTAGATCGTATTTTTCTATTAAAGAAAAAAAAGCTACCTTCCAAACTTGGGCTAGAGATCAGTGTGATTAGTGCCCTTGGTTATGCTTTGCCACACAATGTTTCTATTGAGAATAAAGTAGGGGGACTATTTATAGTGTCCTCCTAAATTCATAGTCTCTCAAAATTGGATGGAGAAACATTCATTTCTATCTGTAACATGCATTTCAGAGTTAATCTGAAATGCACAAGTTCCCAGGTCTGATCCTATTGGTAATTCCAGCCAGGCTTTGACCCTGGGCAGTATGAAGTCTAGGAGGAATGTTACCAGTATTGTCTATTTTGTTAGAAACTAGAGTTAAACTTGGAAGCATGATTAACGCAAACTCAATTTTCTCTCGTCCGTCAACCACCCACATGACTACAACTTCTCACAGGGTAACCATGTCTGTTAGTTTGTTCTCAGGAATTCTATATTTTTCCTTACATTAATTTGTCCCTTTCATCACTTCTCCCTCAACCCACTGGCTCCTTTCTTCTCTACTCAAGAATTTGAACCTAGATCTAAAGCCGTGGATTCTCCTGGGAGTCTACTCACAGAGGTCAAAGCCCACTCAAGGTCCCTCTAAGCTGGAACAGAGCTCACAGTTCCAATCTCAATGCTCTGACCCCAGGGTCATCATTGTCTGTCTCTGGCCTCATTATTATTCCCAAAAAAGAAAGTGATTTTTAATATTTTTTAATAAATAAATCTGGAGTACGAATAAAGCCTACATTTTAAAAGAACCCTGGTCCAAGTCTTCCTTCTTCTGTAATCCTGCCTTTGCCCAACACACACACACACACACACACACACACACACAGAGAGAGAGAGAGAGAGAGAGAGAGAGAGAGAGAGAGAGAGAGAGTCAACCAACACTTAGGAAAATCTTCTTTGAGACATGTGTTTTATTTAATCCTCACACTACCAGCCATTAGCATGGTACTGAGCACATGGTAGTTTCTCAATGTGTGTGTTCTGGTTAAACAGATAACCTGGTGGAACAGAATTATCAGCCTAACTTTAGAACTGAAGAAATTGAGGCTCAAGTAATTAAGTGACATGCCCAGTATACTTTGATTTGACTATGTTTGCTCTCTGTCCACCCCTGTTGTTGTCTGTTAATTCATGATCATTAAAGTTACCACCCTGATGGTACCATAAACTGGACTGCCTCATAATTTGTCTTATTGTTTCAGAATGACTTGGTGCTATTTATGGAGAGAATATGGGTGACTAGCCAGCATGGTGTTTTGCCTCTTTGCCTTTGGAATGTAGTCTAGAGCATTTGTTCCAGAAAACCACACACAGATTTGTGTTCATGGAAAAGGGTCCAAAAATTTAATTATTTGGGGGGAGCTCTAGTATTTGTCCACTGTTAACCAGGTCATCCTTCAGACAGAAGAAATGCCATGAATGATCCAACCAAGGCTGCTGCTCAGTGGGGTTGACAGCAGTCCACAGAATCAAGGCCTGCCTGCAGGCCTGAGCTTGTCCAGAGAGTGAAGTTTTGGAGAGAAGTTTCTGTGTGGTGCTGCCAGCCAATCTCTCTCCTATACTTTTGCTCAAGCCTAGAGGAGTTATCAAAGGCAATGCCTACTTGACCCTTGTTGATGGGTGATTGCACTGATTTAGAGGAGAAAAAGACAACCTGCCTCTTCTGAAAGATATAGGCAAAGTAGCTCCAACAGACATCCAGACCTGGATGTTTCTGTGACTTGCAACATCTCAAAATATGTGTTTCCATCCCTGTCAGTGGCAGCCACCATGTCTGTGTCTCCTGGGAGGTGTGTGCAGAAGTGCCATTAAATAAAAATTTTGCAATTTCAACATTCGGTCTTTGCTTCCCCAGCAATTGTTTTGTTTAGTCAATCATGACTAAGATTCTTGAATCTTACTCTTAAGTACTTGACTGAGAGTAAATTACAAATGGGCAAAGTGGTGGGCTCTTCATTCTGCAGCAGTAGGTTCTTAGGGGTCTCCTGAGTGTCCATAGTGGAGCACAGACAGAGCTGTGGTCAGTGCTGAAGGGGAGAGTAAGTTGGATTTGGAGGAATGGTGCATCATTTATTCCACAAATATTTATGCATCTTCACAGGGAGTGGAGTTGGTGTGCTGGATGCTAGGTAGAGGACTCATAACCAGGCCCTCCCCAGCTTTTCTGGTTACTAACACCTGTCAAAGAATTTCTGCACTCCAGGAGGCACTCCATGTCCAAAACTAGATGCCAGCATTCCCTAGTTGATCCAAACATGTTTTATTTATTCTTCAGTGTCAGCAAGACTACAGTTAGAGCAACAATGATCATCTGGGCCAGTGAAATCAACACCATTTTATCCTTTCTTATATGTTGAAATCCCCAATGTGTTCTTAAATAAAAAAGGAAAAAGCAACTTTCAGTTATTTGAAAGACCACACACAGCTACCCATTTGTAGAAATTGTTGATATGGATCAGATGGGACAATACGTTTGAAGAGCATTGTGTGTGTGTCCTCAGTGAATATTAGCTGCTGTTATCACTCTTGTCATATCTTCATCATTGTCATCATCATTACAGTTCTCTGCTTGCATTTGACTAGACATTAAATCAACAGGAACTGAGAACTGTGGACTTAAAAAGTTTCTGTTTTATTTGACATATACTTTTTGAGACATAAAGTGAAATTGAGTTTGCCTGTTTTTCAACTGAAAGTTTTCAGATGAGCTGGACATTCCATTTAATGGGATTATTCTGCATCTTAGCATCTTTGTCAAGGCACCTAAAAACCTTTTCAAAAACCTGAACTATGTGCTCTGTGCTTTCTTGAAGCCAAACCTTGGAAGTAGGGGAGGGAAGGCATTTATTTTGAAAGTGTGCCATATTTTAAGCATTACATGTATGTTACAAGCTGAATTCCTTCCTCTCCACAGCAACTCAGTAGCACAGAATTTAACTGTCATTAGAGATGGGGTCTGAAAGAGATAATTAAATTAAAATTGAGATTATTAGTGTCGATCCTTATTCAATCTGGCTGGTATCCAGATTGAAAAAAAGAGATTAGGACACAGACACATGCACTCTGCCTGTGAAGACTCAGAGAGAAAACAGTCATCTATAAACCAAGGAGAGAAACCAGACCCTGGCAAACCTTAATCTTGGACTTCTAACTTCCAGAATTATGAGAGAATAAATCTTTGTTGTTTAAGCCACCCAATCTATAGTATTTGTTATGGCAGCCCTACCAAACCAATACAACATATGCTATCTCAGTGACTTCTCTGAACAAATCAATGTATTATTGTCACCAGTTTTTAGAGAGGAAAACTTATGATTTATGAGTTAAGTAACTTGTTTGCAGTTTCACAGGTGGTCAACTATCAATAGATTGGCCAGACTTCAAACCCCATCGGCTGGAGGATACCTGACATATGGTAATATTTTAATAAATATTCACACTTATTCTTTCTTGTTGCTTTTGACTTCAAGGTGATAAAATCCAAATCAGGTAAGCACACCACCAAAAAAGGAACTGGATGTAGATCTATGGAGATACTTCACATCAAGCAGGAGAAAACCGTGTTGTCCTCCTTGTAGGAAAAGCAGGAACCCAAATCTCACAAATAGTGTTTAACCTCAGCTGAAGTTGAATTTTACTTCTTATAAGCCATGGATTGTTATAGAAACTCCTCCAAAAAATAGAGTTTTAGTTGTCAAATGTGTATTGATTTATAGGAAGACTAAGAGGCATTTTGGTGGACTTATGTTCTGGACGGGTAGTGGTAGGATACATTTACTCCCACTCTGAAACCAAAATGCTTTTCCAAATAAGATCTTAAAAGCCTTTGCCCTAGTCAGTGAAAGATAGCCCTTATAATATGGCCAAAGATTAGAGTTTATGTTCACAATTGTTTTAAAACAAGATTTTACTCTCTGACTTCTCAATCATATTTTTATTCCTTTTGTACATCTCATCAAAGCATTTCGATTAGAACAAGTCATTGAGGACAGAAGCCAAAATAAATAATTGAGTTTAAATTACTACAGAGAGGGGACCAGTTTTAGTTATGGGGACTTTTCATGATTCTATGAAGTCCTAATATTTATGGGATTGGCTTGCATAACACTTTTTTTTTCCTTCCAGATTTATTTCTGATTTCTAATGTCATCCATGAATTTCTTAGTCTCTCTTGTTAAACTTTTTCTGATGGCTTCTCAGAGGTTCCAGCCAGTGAATGGTTTGCTTTTCCTTGGAGTTCTTCAGCTTTTGACACTTAGCCTGAAGTCATGACCTCTGCCAGGCAGCCTGGTCATGTCACTCCTGTTAGCTACATGAAAACCAGAGGTGCCTCTCAGCTCCACTGCTTCCATCTTGTTTCTGGAATGAAACAGGGAGGATGCAGTCAAAGAGAAATAAAATTAGGGTATAAATACACCCACAGATATAAACTTGCTTATGTTCTTCTGGGCTGCTCAGAAGTCATGTTGTGCTTCAGTGTACAAGTTTTGGATATAGACAGGGTTATTTCAAGTTGCAGCTGCTACCTACAAGTGACTCTAGGCACATTACCAAAACAACCTGGGGCTCAGTTTCATTTTTTAAGTGGTGATAACAATTACCTGCTGGTTTGACAAAAAGAGTAAATGAAATAATATAGGTGAGGCATCTAAGAAAGTATCTAGTGCATGGTAGGTGCATAATAAATGAAGACCATAGGCAAAAGTTTGATGACTTCACCTACCATAACTTCCAGTGCTTTTGGGTTGAGATTCCATTTTCAACACAGTAAGGCCTGCCTACATTTCTCTAGAGGGGAAATACCATGACGGCCTGATGTAAAATTGGGACTTAACCTCACTTATGACCCAAGAGTCCCTATGGAAGACATTCTCCATGTGTTTCAAACTTGGTGCATCATCCACCAAGCATGTTCCCTCCGGAAAAGCAGGAGACCGCCCAAGGTTTGGATAAGTTCAGGGAAGCATCTGAACTTTTTGGGAGCTGTCCCATCCAAACTGGAGTTGTCTGGGTTTTGACCACTGGGGCCAATATTCTTTTCTGTCTGGGCTTTTTAAAAAGATCAGAACATTGAGTTAGTATTCCCAGTTCTCGATGTCATAAGAAGGTCTTAAGCATGACAATTCCACTAACTTCAAGCAGAATTTTGTGGGTAAAAGAGATGAATAATGTGAGAAAATAAATGAAGGGATTGGCACTCATTAGGGGTAGGCGGGGGAGAAGAACTATCTTCATCCACCAGCCTAAAACACAGAGGGGTTTTTATGATTATGATCCTCCCCAGCACTCTGCTTGGACTCTCTCCTGTATTACATAAATTAGAAAGATTTGGGTTTGAGTTCTATTTCCAATATTTATTAGATGGGGTAAATTCTTTTAACTTTTCCAGGCCTCAGTTTCCTCATTGGCAAAATGGAAATATTGCTAAAATGGAAAGGATTAGTTAGTTCATTTATTCATTCATCTACCCAGTAGTATTTGCAAACAATTTGGTTTGGCCCATAAGAAGCACTCAATAAACAGTAGATATCCAAGAGATTTTGTGCAATCTTCCTACTTTTATACACCTAGATTTCAAGGAAAATTTCACATTTGCACCCACTTTCTTTGATTTTGCTGAAGAATATGTTCTTACCTTTATAAAAACCACACTTGAGTCTGGAGTACTCCCCATTCTTACACTACTGAAAAGAAAATTATGATTTGAGTAAATACCACACATTGCTTTCATTAATATGTCACATTAAATTTAAAGTCTCAAGTCCAAATCAAAAAGTTGGATCTCTTCATGTATTTCATACTTTAGGAAAATCTGAGGACTGGAATAATTTTTCTCACGAGTCTCTCTCTCCCTCTCCCCCCAACACTCAACCCCCACTCCTTACCCCCCACCCCCCACACACATATACACACTCTCCAGAGTCTAACGGTTCCCAACAGTTTGTGGTTTGTTTTGTTTTGTCTCCTCCCCATTATGTATGCCCTGCGCTCCCGCCCATGGCCCTCCTCCTCAGGGGCAGTGAATCTAGATGCGGCCATGTGTAGTTTGAAAAAATACTTCCTCCCCCTTGACCCTGTTGAGAACCACATTTCCAATTGCATCGAGAGAACTGGATTCCTCCTGTCTGCTCTGTTGGTTTAATTAAGAAAAGCTTGGCTAGAATTGTCATGTTTTGAAGTCAACAAAATCAGCACCTTAATCTGTTTGGGAGATAACGTGTTCTATTGGAATTCTTTCGTGAGGGCTTGCCCAAATAGTTACCCTTGGTAACCCAGGCAACCCCATTCCATTCGCGGCTCATCTGCTGTCATCATGTGTCCGCCATGGTGACCTGCTGGGAGGTCAGTGATGTCTCCTGATGGTACCAGGAAACCTCCCTGCCCCTCCTTCTTGTACAGGAACAAAGAAAAGGATCAACAGACAAAAAGTTGAGCTTTCTCTGGGAAAACACAGTGACCTGCTAGTAGATTTTATAGCAGGCCTAGCATAAAAACAAGCAAACAAACAAAATAAGACAAAATGAACAGGAAATGTTTTTCTTATATTTATAACTCTGAGTTCAAATTTCTGAACAACAAAAGGTCAAGGATGTCTAGAAGGGGGAAAAATGAAGCAAAAAATAAAAAGAATGAGTCCTCAGGAGTCCTTCTGCGAACGGTTGCTTCCTGGTCTCCCCTGAGCACAGGAAAGGAAGCGTCATTAGGGCCCCCTCCATCCTGCTCATCTTCTCCATCAGGAGGACAAAATTGACACTGCAAAAATAAATAAAAAGACATTGCTAGTGTTTGCCATGTCAGGAAACTGTAAAAAGGCAGGGAAAGGGTGGAAAGAAAGAAACCAATATAAAGTTGTAGCCTAAAGGGAAACCTCATTTTCTGTGTCTGGCTCCCACACAGGGGTGGCTGCGTTATGGGGTTTGGTGGCAACTTCTTTAAAGCTGCCTTTTGAGAATTAGTGATGCTTTCCTTTCAATGGACTTGATGAAGCAAGTTAGCACTTTTTTTTTTTTTATAGAGGCATGTTTTTACTTATTTATTTATTTGTTTGTTTGTTTTGTTTATACAAGCACTGGGTACAGTCAGAAGCGCGGGAGGGTGAGAGAACTCACCAGAGCCAGAGCCGGGAGCAGAGCAGGCAGAAGGACCGAAGTACACCACTGAGGGGAGCAGCGGGCGGCAGGAGAGGTCTGTACGCCATGTGGGACCCTCCTCTGGTGGCCGGGGAGCAGCCGGGGATCGAACCGGCGCAGCACTTTTTTTTTAAGTTAGAAGGAAAAGGCAGCATTTTACCAGGAAGATTTTATTTATTTATTTTTTTTAAGTATGTCTACCTTTTATTCTAGTTAGCAATATTCTTCTTTTTTAAATTTTTTTAAAATTTATTTTTTACACCATTGTTCATTTTTAAAGTGTTTGCTTTCCTCCCCGCTCAGGCATAGTCCTCACAGAATTTCCTTCCCCAATGCACCCGTGCACCATCACCACATCCCCTGTGCTCCTCCCTCCCTCCCTCTGATCCCTCTCCCGACTCCTCCCCTGCAAGATGTCTCTGATTTATAATTGTCTGGTTTTGTTTTGTTGTCTTTTGTATTAGACTGACAGTATGACCCACTTTCCTCTGATTTTAGTGTTAGTAGACCCTGGAAGGAGTTTTCTCTCAGCCTGGAGTGACAAGTACATGAGATACAATAGGAGTAAAAAAAAAAATCCCACCATATGTATATATACATATATATATATATATATACACACACACATATATATCTCATTAACTGAACAGTAAAATACCAGTCATATTCAAATATTGAATTTATTTTTAGCTTTCACAGGTAGTTATCATTGCCAACCATGCAAACTAATCCTAATTGCCCATTACAGTAAACTAATTGCTCATTACAGTAAAATTCATATTTATGGAATGGGTTTTAGAACTAAGATCATTTGGTTATTGAATTTACCATAAAAGCAGACATTGGTGATCATGCCTAAGAAAATGCTGCCAGAGCTAAGAAGTTCCAGGAGGCTTATGCTTCTACCATGGAACAAGTCTCTTTGCTTAGGGGGAAAGAAAACCTCCACCTGTCACAGAACGGTGTGAGAAGGCAGGCAGAGTAGGAGTCCAGCTGCAGAGGGAGATTAGAGCATGTTTCTTAGCAACCTGTTAGATTCCAGTTCGGGGGAAGCACACTCATCTGGCAATGCTGCCAGTCAGAGACTACACTACGGCTCAGTGGAAATGTGTGTCTAGAGAAGAGCTAGGCGGCTGCAGGTCACCCAGCTCGCAGGAGTTGTCCCCACCAGGGTTGGGCCAATTTGAAACAGGTGGATGGACACATTATTTGCTTTATGTGAAACAGTGTCTGTTAAATGTGATATTAATATATCATATTTCTCCAAGAGCAGGCTGTGTCTCGTAGACGTCATCTAATTAATTCTCACAGCATCCCTGAAAAGCAGAACAAGAATGGGAAAATGATTTGTTCCTATGTGTCTGGCCAAGTTCACGAATTCCTAAGAGGGAAATATGACTTTCCCTTACAAATAGAAAAAAAAAAATCTATACTGCAAAGGTAGGAAAAATTTAAGGAGGTTTTGGCAGATGTTAGAAAGGGGTGGGATAATAAACAATGAAGTGAAGTTCAAATTTGAAGAAAAAAACAGGAGAGCTGACAAAGGGCCTTGTTGTGGGTGAGGCAGAAATATTGGGCCTTTGATGGGGAAAGAAAGAGAAAGAGAGAGAGAGAGAGAGAGAGAAGTAACTCTAAGTTACAGTCCTGTGAGATCTTGTTGAAGCATCATCCTCAGTCCTGTTTTTAATTGAAACATCTTCCTATTTGCTAATAATAGCAGCTGCTCCATAGTGAGTGCTGGCAAGTGCCGCTGGGCTCCTTGCAGGTAGTCCTTTCCATGACTTGATGGTAGCTGCCCCATCCTCATGCAAAGATGACAACCCGGGCGCTGAATGACTTTCTGAAGTCACAGGGATGGTAACAGCCTCTGTTTCCACCCCCTGAATCACTCTAAAGATCTTGAGAAAAACTGGGGACACATTTTTAGAGGATCGAATAATGAGTAAAACACAGATCCAAAGTTTTGATTCTAGGCCTTTGGCTCAAATACAAGCGCTGAAGGAACAAAGGAATGAGAGGAAGCGAGACAAAAATCTGTTTGCAGTACTAGTACCCTTGGAACTCAGTTCCTTCCTTCAACCGAAAGGTGTGTGTGAAGTAGCAGGAGGTGGAGCTCTTCATAGGGGAGGCTGTACCTCTCCCTTCCTTCCTTGTCAGTGACTTGTGATGTCTCCCCTCTCCTCTAGGCAAGTCACCAGAACACTGGCATGGTCTTGACTGCTATAAGGCAGGACCGGACAAGGTGCAGGTTTTCTGAACCCATGCAGACTGGGTAAAGGAGGAGTCAGACTGGGTAAAGGAGGACTCTGACTCCTCAGTGGTTTTTTGCAGGTCTTTTATTGGGGTTCACCAGGCACATGGCAGGCAGGGGTGCTGGGGGGCCGGGAGGCTGGCAGTCCTCCCAGCCCCCAGCAAATCCTCACTCTATCTGGGCTCTCTGGCGTTCTCTGCTTCTGCTACGGGCTTCTTCTCTTTCGGCTTCTCCTGGCGTCCCCATGACACCGCCCTTAAAAAGCACAGTCTTAGCACAGGTGTACCCACTTCAGGTGCCCGCCATCAGGCATGCATTCAGGATCACAGGGTTCCCTCATCTATCCTGATGGCGGGAGGGCAGAAAAGCCTGATTTTTTACCTTACCTACAACTGCTTTGGCCACCCACAGGGAGGAGTGGGAGAAGAGCCTGTAGGGTAAGGAAAAAGTATCAGGCTTTGCTGCCCTCCCACCATGAGGATAGATGAGGGAACCCTGTGTTCCTGAATGCATGCCTGATGGCGGGCACCCGGAGTGGGTACACCTGGGCTGAGACTGAGTTTATAAGGGCGGCATCCTGGGGACGCCAGCAGAAGCCAAGAACAGCGGAAGCCAAGAGAAGCAGAGAGAAGGCCAGAGAGCCCAGATAGAGTGTGGATTTGCTGGGGGCTGGGAGGCCTGCCAGCCTCCCGGCCCCCCAGCACCCCTGCCTGCCATATGCCTGGTGAACCCCAACAAAAGACGTGCAAAAGCCACTAAGGACTCTGACTCCTCCTTTACCTGGTCTGCATGGGATCAGAGAACCTGCACAGTGGTCCAGTCCTGTCCTCTACAATCGACTAATGAGATTTCAGGTGTGAATCCTGAAGTTAACACGTGATAGTTATGGTTTAGGATAAGCCACTTAAAAATAGACAAAAATCAACTTCCTAGGTCTTCGTTTCCGTATCTTATTGTAGCACCAGGAAGGGCTCGGGACAGTTTCTCTGATTCACGCAGATGGGGTAAGGAGGAATCCTTGAGCCCTCAGTGGCTTTTTCAGGCTTTTATTGGGATTTTACCGGGGAGCCAGGAGGCTGGCAGGTCTCCCAGCCCTCAGCGAATCTTCACTCTTCTTGGGCAATCTGGCCTTCTCCCGTGGCCTCTGCCTCTCTTTCACTCTCGTTCTTTTCGCTCGGCTGGTGTCCTTATAAGCCCAGTCTCTCAGCCCAGGTGTACCCACGATGCATGCCCACACCTCACTCCAGGTGCCTGCCATCAGGCATGCATTTAAGACCACAGGGTTCCATGATCAATCCTAATGGTGGGAGGACAGAAAAGCCTTATACTTTATTTATCCTACAGTTATATATAGATGTTAGTGGCTACCTGAAAAGCAACTTAAGTGGGAAATCTTTTTTTTTTTTTTTTTTTGCTAGCACCCCACTTGGAGGATAAAAGAGGTAAATAACAAGAAGTTAAACTCAATTTGGGAGTTTTTGTGGAAATCTACCTTTGGAACTCACCTGTCCTATCTCTGTCAAGATTCAGCCTGATCTTGCTCCTAGAGTTGAATCTCTAGTTCTAGAAAATCCTTGGAGTTGTGGAGTATTTGAAGTAAATGCCAACGATTCCACAGAGCAATTTTGTAATCTTCACATGATTCTATGAAATAGATTTGCTTTTTTAAGCCTACTCTACAGAGAACGAAATTGAGACTTAGAGTTTTTCTTTTTTTTTAAGCAACTTGCCCCAAATATCACTGCTCCAGAGTACAGCCAAGGCTGGGACCCTGGGCTTCTGGCTCTAATCCTCAGGGCTTGTAACACAGCCCACAGCACTGAGGTCACAGATGACTGGAATGATGATCTAAA